CGAGGACCTCCAACTGTACCTGCAGAGCCAGGCTAGGGAGGACGTGTCACTGTTAGAACACGTGTCTGGTACCAGCCTAGCCCCTGAGGATACAGCTGCGCGTGCTCTTCGTACTCAGTGGCTCACCCGCGATGCTGCCGCCCGCCTTTCTGTCCGTAATGCCCTCCCGCCTGAGGAACGAGTCCATTTCGGCCAGCTTAAGACGGCGAAGGAACTGTATGACGCTGTAGTTGCTCGTTACTCCTCCCCCTCGTCTGCTGCCCTAGGCCGGATCATGCTGCCGTACCTTCACCCTGAGCTGTCTGAGTTCCAGACTGTTGCTGACCTCTTCACCCACCTTCGCGCTAGTGACGCTCACTACCGTGCCGCTCTAAAGCCGGACTTTCTGGCTGCGAACCCGCCTCCGATGTACATCACACTCTACTACCTCGTTACTCGCCTCCCTCACTCCCTTCGCGCTGTTAGAGATCACTTTCTTGCTCTCGACCCCACCGAGATCACCCTTGCCCTGCTGGAGAAGCATCTTCTCGAGGCAGAGAAGAGCTCCGTCGCTGTCGCTGCCTCTTGTGGCACTCCCCGCTCCCCCCTCTTTGAGGGGTGTTCTCCCTCCCTTCTCGCGCCCTCCATTGCTACTGCTGCTGCTGTTGACTTCCTTCGCACTGAGGAGGTCGGTGCTGCGTCTGCTCCTAGTGGGAGGCGCCGCAACAGCAAGGGCAAGGGGGGTAAGGGTGGTGGGGGGGGCACTGGAGGGAGTGGTAGCTGGGGTGGTGGCGGCGGTGGTGGTGGGGGTGGAGTCGGTGGTGGTGGCGGGAGTGGAGGCGGTGGTGGCGGCAGTGGAGGTGGCTGGGGTGGTGGAGGCGGTGGAGTGGGCGGAGGGGGCACGGGTGGAGGTCGTGGTGGAGCTGGCAAGGGCGGAGGCTCTGGGACTGCGACTGGTGGTGCAGCTCGTGGCAGCGGAGGCACTGGGGGTGGACAGCAGCAGCAGCCACGCACCCCTCAGGAGTTTCGTAAGTGGGTGGTTCAGCATTGATCCACTGGGGCCAATGTTTGTTGCCCGTACGTCCGCCGCTCGGGGCCCAGGACTGGTGAGCCCTGTGGGAAGACTGGGCACACTGAGTATCGTTGCTTCTGTCGTCTCGAGGATGCCTGGCGCACCGAGTACGGAGATGAGCTGGCTCTTCCCAACTGGTTAGCGTTGCTAGGGAAGGGGGTAAATGTGTTTGCTCTTGACTTTGCAAAGATCAATGCTGGAATCCATGCTATGTATGCTGGTGCTGCTAGTGTTGAGGGTGACTGTTACTCATGTGTGCCGCGCGCTGCTGGTGTAGAGGCTGCTGCTCTAGGTGCTTGTGAGTCTGCTGCCGCCGGCACTGCTTCTGCTGAGGCTTTGCACACCTTCACACTTAACTCTAGCACGTCTCGCTGTTTCTTTCGCGATTGCACCACAGTCACACCGCTCACAGCATTTGTCCCAGTCTCTCTGGCTGACCCCTCTGGGGGCCCAGTTGTTGCACGAGCCTCCACTGTGCTCCCTTGTCCGGCAGTCCCCTCTGTTTCTCTGTCCAGTCTCCACATCCCCTCGTTCTCTAAGAACTTGGTGAGTAACGCTGTCCTCCAGGACGAGCTGGTCAGTACCTTCACTCCTGGAGGTGAGCGTGTGGCGATCTGTTCGGACTCACGCACTGGCGAGCACCTCGCCACGTTCACCCGGAGCCCTGGGTCTAGCCTGTACACACTGAACACTGAGTCCGCACAGGTGGCTGCGTCAGGTCAGGTGGCTGCGTCTGCACAGGTGGCTGCGTCAGGTCAGTTAGCTGCGTATTGTTCGTGCCGGCTACTCTCGCACCAGACTCTCCTCCGGCACCACCGTCTTGGTCACCCCTCCCTGCCGCGCTTGCGTGGCATGCACTCTTGTCTCCTTGTCTCTGGCCTCCCCAGGTCCCTGCCCCCGCTCCCGCGCTCGCTTGCACCGCCGTGCATTCCCTGCGTCGAGGGGCGGCAGCGCGCCGCTCCTCACTCCTCCTCGTTTCCGCCGACCACTGCTCCTCTCCAGACTCTCCACATGGACGTGTGGGGCCCAGCCCGCGTCCGTGGACAGGACCAGGAGCACTACTTTCTGCTGATTGTTGACGACTACACGCGATACAACACGGTCTTCCCCTTGCGGAGCAAGGCGGATGTCCGAGGCGTTTTGATCGACTGGATCATCGCTGTTCGTCGCCAGCTGAGCGCTCGGTTTGAGCAGGACCTCTGACAGAGGCGGTGAGTTTTCCTCCGTTCTCCTTCGGGACTTTTGTCGTGCGGAGGGCATCCGCCAGACGTTCACGCTTCCGGCCTCTCCTCAACAGAATGGGATTGCTGAGCGCCGCATTGGCTTAGTCATGGATGTGCTGGAGCTACTGGTGCTGGCGGTGCTGGAGCTGCTAGTGCTGGAGGTGCTGGAGGTGCTGGAGCTGGTGGTACTGGGCGTGCTGGAGCTGGAGCTGCTGGAGCGGCTGACGGTACGGGCACCGACCACTTTTCTACCCGCAACCGCAGTCGTCCCTGCCACCACTTGACTCGGCCCTTCGCCAGGTTCTTAGTCTCCCGTCTTCCACTGGCCTCACTCCACCTCTACTGTGTCCACCAACAGACCAGTCTCAGCCAGAGCTACTGCCTGGCTCCCCGCTGCCTGCTCTTGCTCCTCACACTGAGGTGACTGCGTCCCTGACTGCATTCGTGAGCCTGAGACTCGTGCTTCCACACCTGTTCGTGCTCGTCGGGTCCCACGTCCCCGTCCTCCTGCTCTCCCAGGCACTCACGTCATGGAACTTCGTCCTTCCTCTGTTCCACAGCGTGTTTCCCTGCCGTCTCCTCCTGCGTCCTCTCTTCCTGACGTTCCTGACCGTGAGTCCGACCTTGCTCGTGCCGCCAGTCCTACTGTCACTCGTCTCCTCGTAACTGTCGTCACTGACCCTGACTTTGTGTCTACTGCTGCGTTTGCCTTAGTCACTGAGCTCGTCGACTTTGCTGCTAGGAGTCGTCTCGACTACGTCGCGAATCTTGTTATTGAGTCTGAGTCCGTCTGTCCTCCATCCGTCGGGGGTGAGCTTGCCCTTGGCTGTGACGTCCTTAAGGACAGGCAGTTTGAGCTTGAGTGTCTCGCGACCGCTTTACCTCGTTTTGCGTCCATGCTGAGACCCGGGTGCACTTGACATCCCCACCCCGCGCTCTTACGGAGAGGCGATCACGGGTGAGTACTCCTCTCAGTGGCAGGCAGCCATGGATGCAGAGATGGCTTCCTGGAAGTCCACAGGCACCTACGTCGACGAGGCTGGGGCGAACATAGTCGATGGCATGTGGATTTTCAGAGTGAAGCGGCCGCCGGGTTCTCCGCCTGCCTTCAAGGCGCGTTACATCGCTCGAGGCTTCAGTCAGCGACAGGGGGTCGACTTCTTCCGGACCTTCTCCCCCACCGCGAAGATGACTACTCTTCGGGTGTTGCTGCACGTTGCAGCACAGCGTGACTACGAGATGCACTCCCTCGAGTTCTCCACAGCTTTCTTGCAGGGCAGCCTTCACGAGGAGATCTGGCTGCGCCGCCCACCTGGCTTCACTGGGTCGTTTCCAGAGGGTACCCAGTGGAGCCCCCGACGGCCACACTGAGGACGACACTTGCGGCTCTTGGGTTTGCTCCTTCCACTGCTGACCCGTCTTTGCTACTGCCGACACTGAGGCGGTTCTCGACGATTACCGCTCTTTACCGTGTTGAAAGGAAATTTACCGGAGAGGGCGTACAAAAAGTAGTACAAACCTGACGTCGCCCTTAGGGAGGGAGGTGCGGGTGGAGGAGAGGTGTGCCGAGGGGTAAAGTGGGGTGGGGATGAAGGGGTGTAGCTGAGTGGAACAAAGTACATGAGAGATTATCACCGTACTAGAGTACTACTCAATCGCACCAAACCTGGATAAAAGTGCAACAAACAAGCGGAAGCAGATTTCAGTGCGCATTCCATTCCATCCGCGGATTCTGCGTGCATCATAACCTGCGTTCGAACCACATAATATCATCAGTGTTTCACTTCAGATAATCGCCTGCTCGGCGCTGTGATTCCTTCGCCCGTAGTGAAATAACGGACGTCGTCCGATCTGCGACATCCGCCACTGCCATGCCGTCACTCACTGTGCTTGTAACGAATCCGCATCTGGACCCCAGACCCGTTAGGTGAGGCCGTTCGCGGAAGCACCTGTGAGACGCAACAGCCACCACAGAGCGTGTCACACCATTGTGCGACTCGCTAATTATCTCTCACAGGTTCCAGTCTCGACTTGCGATTCCTCACTGCGAACAGCATCTAACGCCCACGGAACTGCACAGTAGAACGGGTTTTGGGGAGTAAGGGGGGGAGAAAGCGGGGAGAAATGGGGGGTGGCGCCGGGGAAGAAGGGCAGAGGGGGAACGGTCATTGCGGTCAAACGCTGGTCAACGCGGCCGGTCAAGCAGGGACTGCGCAGGCGAACAGGGACAAGCGCGGTAGCGCTGGCGAAGGCGCGGTGACAGAAGGTATATTTTGAGTCGACAAGAAATTCTTGATTGACTCAAAATCACCTCGTTGATGGGGGCGGTAAGTCGAGATGGGGCCTGCGCGGGGAAAGGCGGGAGAATGCGGCAGGTCGGTGGGAGACTGTGGCGGTTCGGGATGGTGGCATCGAGGGGAGAGGCGGGGTACAAACTGCAACGGCGGAGAGATGTATCGGTGCTTAGCATGGAGCGAAGGAGAGATCATGTTTAGTTCTTAGATATGCGGCAGATACCTTGCCGGACGGCGGCAGAGACAGCGGAGCAGAGACTGGGGGAAGGTGGGATAAGGCTTAGCGCGCGATGGGAGGGAAGAATAGCGCACAGATCGTACAGGGATGATGTTTAGGCCTCCCATCGCGCGCTGTAAACATCATCAGCTAAGCGTGATCAGGCCTGAGATTAGAGACTGGGAAGGTGGGATAAGCTTAGCTGAGGCTTTCGCTCAGCGGTACAATCTAGGGCAGACGCCTTGCCGGTCGGCCTCGGCCGTGGCTTTCAGGATGCGGCGTGCACCCTGCAACGACTGAGAGAATGGGGCGCGGAAGGAGAACACGCGCGGAAGAGGGTACAGCAGTGAGGTGCGGACTAAGGGGGGGTGAAGACGAGCGGGCGGGGAGGAGGCGAGCGCAACACGGATCAGCAGCGTGGGGCGAGGGGGAGTGGCGCAGAGTGGAATGAGCATGCGCGCAGGTGGGGACGGCGGAACGGGGATTTGGGGGAAAGAGTGCGGGATGGGGGCAGGTGGTGAGGTGTTGAAAATGGGAATTTCGTCACTGGTGGTGGCGCAATGGGAGGGACCATGGCTGTGTGGGGTGGAATGCGAGCAGCGCAAGGAGCAGGCAATGTGTGGACAGGCGCGGGGAGCAGAGCAGGAGAAGGGAGATTGTTGAGACTCGTCTGGACTAGCAGCAGAGGAGGTGAAAGGTGTGGGGGTTGTGGTGTGAGAGGGGCCAGGCAAGGGGGGCGAGTGGCTCTCGTAAAGCCCGGGAGAGGCGTGAGAGGGGGCAGCTGGGCAGGGGGAGTGAGGTATGGGCAGCGGCGAGCGGTGGCGGGTAATGGGAAGGCTTGAATGGCAGCGGGAAGGCAGCAGGCCGGCGGGCGAGATTGGGGAGAGGGATGGCAAGGCAAAGAGGTGCAACACCGTGTCTGCTATGCAGTTGAGACGTGGGGGAAAGGGGTGTGACGTCAGAGAGGTGCATTGCACCGTTCTCCCTGCCATCGCGCCCATCCAGCTTTTATAATGAGATGTCTTAAAACGGAGCCACCACTCTCCGTGTTCTGTTTGGGTGAGCTCAGGACTTACAGGATGCGGCATGTAGCAGAGGCAGCGGAAGACGGAGGAGTGAGGAGGCACAGGTATGTGCAGTGCAGCAGCATGAGCGCTTTTGCCGTGCTGCATCGAATGTGAGTCATGCATTGTGCATGACTCACATTCGATGCAGCACGGTAAAAACGCTAAACATGCATGTTGTGACTCAAGCCTTGTGTGTCACACGATGGTGCATGTTATGACTGATGACATGCACCCTTAGTCATGCATTGTGAGTCACACGCCATCAGTCATGATTATTCGTGGCATACGGGATGTCCCTGCATTGCATCATGAGTCTTGAGAGATCAATCTCACATTGTCATTCATGACTCATCTGCCATCGCTGTCAGTGATGACATGTCAACCGTGCAATTTCGCTCATGACATCAACCCTGCATGGTTAGTCATGCCATACCACCCATACACTGCAAATCCTCAGAGAAAGCATGCATACATTGTCACTCATGGCATCTCAGTCGCCCTGATAGCATCCCATGCATCATAAATGATCACATATCAACCATTTCACTTGAGCAAGGGCCGGCTATGGCTCAACTGCAGTGAGGGTTGAGCCAGGGTTGCTCATCACGAAGGTACGTAATGAGGGTTTCCGCGGCTCTTGACTTGTCAAGGGGGAACGAGCAATTTGCTCGTGCTTATCAGTCATGCACTGTCAGCTATGCACAGTCAGCCATGCACAGTCAGCCATGCACAGGCAGTCATGCTTATCAGTCATGCACTGTCAGCTATGCACTGTCATTCATGCACAGTCAGTCATGTACTGTCAGTCAAGAGTTCTCAACTTCAGCAAGCCATAAGCCACCACTCCATTCAGTGCTGCTATATCACTTATAGTCACGGTTCATATGTTTATGCTATGAACACTATGAAGCTCTACACAACATTACAGAACTGTGTGATTCCAGCCAAGCATTTGTCAGTCATGCCACATCAGCCACGCGTTTCTTAGGAATGCTATATCAGTCATTTCCCAAGCATACGTCAGTCATGCCATATCAGCCACGCAATTGCCAGACATGCCATCAGACAAGATTTTGTCAGTCATGCCATACCAACCGAGCATTCCCAGTCATATGCCGAATCAGGCAACCAATTGCCAGTCATGCCATATCAGGCAAGCAATTGCTAGTCATGCCATATCAACACAGCAGTCTTGGTATATCACCCAAGCATTTGTCAAATTGTCAGTCATGCCATATCAGCCAATACATGTCACATCAGCCAAGTATTTTTCAGCCAATCATGCGTCAGTCATGCCACATCAACCAAGCATTTGTCAGTATTGCCATATAACCAACCATTTGTCAGTCATGTCATATCAGGCAAGCATTTGTCAGTCATGCGTCATACCACGTTAGGGAAGCATTTGTTAGCCATGCCACGTTCGCGAAGCATTTGTAGGTCATGCCACACCAGGCTAGCATTTGCCTGTCGTGCCATATCAGCCGATGAAAGCATCATCCAAGACGAGGGGAGATGCAGGGTTGTGGAAGGGGGAAGGGTTGGGAGGGAGGGGAGGGGAGGCGGGAGGGGAAGAAGGGGGGATTGTGTGGAATGTTCAGTTCGAGAAAGGGAAGAGATGTATGTGTATTAGTAACGGTAGTACTTCATTATATTAACTGGCAAGAAAGCAGGTCGGAGTAAATCAGTGCAACAAAGAATTTGATGTGGTTCTGAATTCAGTGCACCTTTGATCAAGGCCTGTTGAGTGCAGGCCATGGTTTTGAGTGTTTCTTTACTTGATACGTTCAACCTTACATCAGAAATTGTAGATCTCTTGTTTCCTTTTTGCTTGCAAGCTGCATCCATGCCATGCCAACATACCGGTAGCTAAAGCAACACTACACTATGTACAGCTTTCTGATCCACAACAAGAAGCAAAGCAAACAAGCACACACTCACTACTGAACAATAGCCCTCCTCTGTACATGAGCACTTCCATTTGAAGGGTTTGCCTGACCGATCTCATGCACCAGCTTCAGTAGGAACATCACCACCAGCACCACTAACGCTTCCAATTACACTCCCAAACACATCATTCAGAGCTGTGGATGATGCCAGCGCAGCTTGGACTAGCGCCAGTGCCTGCGAGGAGAGAAAATACGGTGTATTAGAAGAACATACACTCCTACATACCCTATCCTGGAAAAGATACACGCCCAGCAACTTACTTGGTCCTTGGTCACGTTGATCTCGTAGCTCTCCAAATCAGCCATTGTCTTCACACCCATGCTGCTCAGCGCCTTGATGCTCTTGATAGTGGAGCTGGGGAAGAATTCAAGGTCATCCGTGACCATGAAAGTCACCGTTTCCTTCACAAAGCCTCCAGGATGCCCTAACAACTGATCGTTACAAGCACGAGTCAAAGGCTTGTCCAAGGCGGCAGCGCAGTCAGGACACACGCTTGTAGCTGTATTTCCCACCCTGTGACGCTGAGCGCATGTGTACAACGCTTGAGAAGCATTCACGGTCTCTCCATCAATCTGCTTCATCGCCTGGGTCATGATCTGCTCGCAGCTGGTGCACTTCACACCTGGAACCGGTGAGAGGGACCAATGCTCAGCAGTCGGACAGGTGTAGTAAGCGGCATCCTGGCAGCGAAGGAATCGCAGTTGAGAGGACAGCTCCGTGGGTGAGGGGTTCAGGAGAACATCCTTTTCCACCTTCATGTACGACCTGTCGAGCTTGTCAGCGCTGGTGAAAACGTTGAAGATTCCGACTTTCCGACCTCGGTTCAGATTCCCGGTTTCCTTGAGCAGTTTCAGCAAACTCGCGGTCGGCATACGAAGGAGTGACATGAGAAGATCGACAAAATCCTTCCCAGCCTCGAGATACAATACTTGTCCTTGCGCCTGAAACTCATGAGAAGTGAAATCAGATAACTCATGAGAAGTGGATAACTCAAGAGAAGTGGAATCAGATAACTCATGAAAAGTGGATAACTCATGAGAAGTGAAATCAGATAACTCATTAGAAGTGGATTTCGAATGGCAAGAACCATTCATTAGTATACCAAAGCTGCTCACCTTGCTGAACAAAACAATGACCTTCATCGACGATCCTGTAGAGTCAGCCATGTCGACAGAGTCAATAGCGATTCCGCGGAATGACCGATCTGGATGAGGAACTGGCGGAAGGACTAGCAGAACCACTCGGTGCTTGTCTGTTCGATTACGCGATCGTCTTTTTTAGGTGCGTCTTGTCGAATTTAAACAGCCAAAAAGGCTTACGAGACGCATACTGAATTGACTGCTGGATACTACTCGACTGCACTGGGATCAATTCGTCAGTCACGGTCCATTAGTCTGCTTACGAGCATGCAGAGAATGCGTGCGTGCAGATTTCACGAAATATAGTCCCAAGCCATGTCTCTTGCATGTGCTCGGGCGCCACGGCTACGCACGCTTCGACACATCGCGTCGGCCTTCACGCCTATCTCAGACTTTCACGCTCTATTGTGTGTCCTGCTTCACGCCTTGGGATCGACGGGTCTAGACTAGCAGAGGAAGGCGTCATAACACCTCTGTACTTCCCTATCCCTATCAATTTGGGAAAACCTGTGTTTGTATTTTTACCGTAACGAGACAAGGAATCTGCGTTCGTGATCAGCTTTCGAGAACAATACAGTAACGAATCCATTCACTGAACGGCTTAGATTCGTCCAGACGAGAGAGCGAATCGGCTTGGAGCTGAGCACATGCTGTACCGCGACTCAGGCTAGGAAGACACAAGCGGTTCAGATACATGTGGAAGAATGCCAGCCGCAAGTTTCTGAACGGAATCCCCCGAATTGATTCAAGATTCACAACAAGCTTTCGCGATATTCAGCTGGGGGGTTTATCCGCTGGCGAGCTTCGACGACCATTTTCGCCTAGTGTAACTACGTATATTTGTTCGTCCTCTCCCCTACCATCCCCTCGCGTTCGATCGCCCAACCCCAAAACTGGTGCGTTTCTTCGCCGCAGCAAAATTATGTTCGTCAACACCTGGCAGGTGATTTCGCAGGCAAATGGTCCCTCTCTAACAACGACCTCCCTCTTTATCGTCGAGTGGCCGCCCATCACCTGCTGTTTGTTCTTTCTTCCGCCATTGTTACTGTTCGGAGGTATGCAGCGCCATTGTACCTCACCTCCCCCAAAACCACTCCTGCTCAGCTCCGCTCTTCCTGTACATCCACCTCCCCTTCCCAGAGAATCCATTCGTTTTCTACCCTATCGGAGATCAGAGAATCTAGAACCCTGCTCTCTGTTGCGAGCCGCCATCCCAGATGCAACCTGCGCTTTAACATGCGCGCACTCCAGCTCCGCGAAAGCTAGCGCGTGCCGCCCAGTCCTCACGATGAACCTCCCCGCAGCCCTCCGTTCCATTCACTCGCCCATTCAAAGCTGGCTGCGCTATGAACATGCCGTTAGGACTGACGACACCTGCCATTCGCCGGCTGGAAACTGGATGGGGTAGGAGCGAAGCATGCGGGTGTTCGCTAGGAGTGTGGAAGAAGGGGTGGTGCAGCTGTCCGGAGATCCTATGACCTACGAATTCTACGAAAACATCACCTCAGAAGGCTTCTCCAGTCATCCGCACTGACCATCACGACAGTACAGCAGAGCCATAGTAGGGAGAATTCACAGGAAAATTAGCATCAGCAACATGACATCCGTTCTCCCTTTTCTCCTCCTACTCCTCGGTCCTCACACGATCGACGCTCGACCGACCGTCAATGCCTTACTTTCCACCTTCCGCGGCCCAGCGCGGCTCCTCCAAGCCGCGGCGGAGTGCACGGGAGCGTCGGAGCCCTGCCCCGGCGGCCGCGGCGGCTGCGTCGCAACGTCGCGCCTCTGCGACGGCGTGCCCGACTGCGGCGACGCGAGCGACGAGGGCGTCGACTTCTGCGACGCGCTGCTGTACCCGCCGAACGAGGAGGGCAACGTGTGCAACCCCGAGCAGTTCCAGCTCTACTGCCCCAGCGGCGGCGGGTGCATGCAGGAATCCGAGGCGTGCGACGGCAAGCCCCACTGCGCCGACGGAAGCGACGAGTCGCTCGCGTTCTGCAAGAATTTCGTCTGCGATAACGTCGGCAGAGTGCGTGCTGGTGGCGGCGATGGTGTCCCGCCTTTGGTGCAAGCTAGCTGCTCGCAGTGCTCGCCGTATGCGATGTCCTTTCATCTGTCCTCGTTCGCCATTGCTACATGCATTATCGATTTTGAGGGTGTCGAGTCAGACTCAAGGGTGCTGCTGACATTGTTTCCTTTCCTTCCATCTGTCCTCGTTCAGCGACCGTTCTCTCCCCCCCTTCCCGGTTCACTCAATACGCCGTTCTTCCCTTCCCGTTCTCGTCCCCCACTGTTCCCTTCTTCCCTGCGCTTTCCCACCCTCTGTGTTTCCTTCTTCCCTGCCCATTTCCTCCCCCTCTCTGTGTTTTCTTCTTCCCTAGCCGCTCTCTCCCCCCTCTGCGTTTCCTCTACCCTGCCCGTTCCCGTCCTCCCTCTTCCCACCCTCTATTTCCTTCTTCCCTGCCCCTTCTCATCCCCACCAGGCCTACTAAAGTCGGTTGCGTGCCCTTAGGAGGCAAATGCAACGGCGTCCCCCACTCTGTGCTTCCCTTTTCCCTGTCCCCCCTCTCTATATCTGTCCCTGCATTCCCTTCTACCCTCTCTTTTTCCTTCACCCCTGCCCGTTCTCATCCCCACCAGGCCTACTGCCCGTCTAAGATCGGCTGCATGCCCCCGTCCGGCGAGTGCAACAGCCTGGTCGACTGCACGGATAGCAGCGGTGACGAGGGACCGCAATGCCCCGGGTACCAAGACAGCTCATCTGAGTTCTCTCCCCCACTCTTCGTTTCTCTCTTCCCTGTCCGTTCCCTTCCTTCTCCCTGCCCGTTCTCACTCCCACCAGGCATACTGCCCGTCGAAGGTCGGCTGCATGCCCCCGGGCGGCGAGTGCAACGGCGTGACCGACTGCGCGGACGGCAGCGACGAGGGACCGCAATGCCCGGGTTACCAAGACGGCTCATCAGGCAGTGGCACATCAACAAACAGCACTGCCCCTAGCTCTGGTGGCGGTGTTTCGACTGACACGTCAACGAACGGCACTGCTCCTGGTGGCGGGTCCGCAGGCGGAGGCGGGTCGGCATCGGGAGGCGGGTCGGTGACTGGAGGCCCTGTTGTGTTGAGTCCAGAGGAAAAAAAGGCTGCTTTGGAGGAAAAGAAGAGGAAGCAGGCAGAGAAGGCGGCGGCGATCGCTGAGAAGAAGCGGAAGCAGGAGGAGAAAGCTGCTGCGATCGCGGAAAAGAAGAGGAAGCAGGAGGAAAAAGCGGCTGCAATTGCGGAAAAGAAGCGGAAGCAGGAAGAGAAGGCGGCTGCGATTGCGGAAAAGAAGAGGTTGCAAGAAGCCAAGGCTGCTGCTATTGCTGAGAAGAAGCGGAAACAGGAGGCAAAGGCGGCTGCAATTGAAGCAAAGAAGAAGAAACAGGCTGAGAGGGCGGCGGCTGCTATTTAGGCTAAGAAATCAAGGCAGCAGGTGTGAGCAAGTAAAGAGGAACAGATGCACAAGCTTAGCAACGCTTTGAGATAGAAGTTTGCTTCTGTTTCGTCAGGTCATATCCTCCTGATGGACCATATGCTCTCCATTGTGGTTTTGCCATGCTCTCGGAGTCACAGCTTTATACTGCAACTAGTTTGTGGAGGGAATTGACGGGACAGGGTGGGGGGAGGATGAACCAAATTCTGGGCACTTACGGATTGGAAATCTCGACTTTGTCCGGAGAAATTTTCGCACGTAAGAAGTTTGGGTGGGGGTTGGCGAAAGCAGACATGTGCAACTCTGGTCGTCGACTGAAATATAGTTCGCTGCGTTCGCAAAGGAACAGCGCGAACCCCTCGTTCCGCTTCCTGGGGGGTGTCCATCGCGATCACCTTCGTTGCCAACTAGGTTACCAGCTTTGCAGATACGAACGAAAATGGACGCGACAAGTCAAACCCTCTGTGCCCTGCTCGCCTGAGAAGCCAACTTGCGAAATATTTTCACCTGGGCCTTGGAGGGTTACACTAAGAGTACAGTCGAGCCGCGCTAACCTGTATTAGAGATATAACCTGTAGCTTAATTCCCGCGACAATCTATGTAAGTCTAACGAGTCATTCCGAACAGCGTTCGCGGAGGGATACTAAGGAGTAGGTGCTTCGGAACGTACACACAAACTGCTATTCAGTGTGGTCAAGAAGGTGAGTGAAGCCACGTCACCGCGCCTGCCCAGGCGCCTCGCCGTGCCTCAAGTCGTCGCCCCTTCCCTGGTCGCACCACCCCTCTCATCGACGCGTCTCCACTCGCCAGACGCACTTTCCCACCGCTTGACGCACCTTCCCACCGCTAGACGCACCTTCCCACCGCTAGACGCTCCTTCCCACCGCTTGACGCACCTTTCTACCGCTTGACGCACCTTCCCGCCTTACACTTACCGCGCCTTTCCTTCCATAGTCGCGCGTCCCATCGATCGTCCCCGCTCCTATTCGCGCACCGTCGCGCCATCCCTCCCCGCGTCGCGTCTCCCCTCGTCGCGCCTCGCCCCCCATAGTCACGTGCACCTCGTCGCGCTTCCCCTCCTTTCGTTGTGCCCCTTCTCTCGTCGCGCCTCATCTGCCCGCGTCGCGTCTGATCTCCCCGCGTCGCGCATACCCTCTTCGGGCCTCCGCTTCCCCTCTATTTCCATTCTTTCCTTTTCATCCCCCCTTTCCCCCTGCCCGTCCTATCCTTAAAACAATCCAAATCCTCCTCTTCCCTCCCCTTACCATCCCTTCCTTCGATTCTCCCTCACTTCCATTCCATTCCGTTCCCATTCCTTCAACAGCTGTGAGCGATTTTAAAGAAAGCTCTCAAACCTCCTCCCCGCTCCTATTCCTTCACGGTTCCCCCCAACTCATCTTCCCCCCAACTCATCTTCCCCCCAACTCATCCTCCCCCCAACTCATCTTCCCCCAAACTCATCTTCCCCCAACTCATCCTCCCCCCAACTCATCCTCCCCCAACTCATCCTCCCCCAACTCATCCTCCCCCAACTCATCCTCCCCCAACTCATCCTCCCCCAACTCATCCTCCCCCCTCCAGTGCGCTTGAAGGGGGGGGTTGCGCCGGAACCTCCCTTCAAGCGTGCTACTGTGGGCTGCCCCAAGGGAACCATCTTCAGATTGCTGCCCGTTTCATCCGCTCTCATCCACTCAAGGTGAGTCGCGCAGCGCAGCCCCGACCGCAGGAGAGTGAGTGGGCGCAGTGCAGGCAGCCCCTACGGTTCCTTACTCCTCTCCACTCCAGGCCTCCTGTGCTCGTCCCTTCCCTTTTTCTTCCCCAATCCACGCCTTTCACTTCCCTTCTCTGCCCCTTTCCAGCGCCACCTTACCCACAGCTGACCTGTCCTCGCCGGACGAGTGGGAGGGGGATGGGAAGAATGGGAGGGGGATGGGAAGAATGGGAGGGGGGATGGGAAGAATGGGAGGGGGGATGGGAAGAATGGGAGGGGGGATGGGAAGAGTGGGAGGGGGGATGGGAAGAATGGGAGGGGGGATGGGAAGAATGGGAGGGGGGATGGGAAGAATGGGAGGGGGGATGGGAAGAATGGGAGGGGGGATGGGAAGAATGGGAGGGGGGTGGGAAGAATGGGAGGGGGGATGGGAAGAGTGGGAGGGGGATGGGAAGAGTGGGAGGGGGGATGGGAAGAATGGGAGGGGGGATGGGAAGAATGGGAGGGGGGATGGGAAGAATGGGAGGTGCGATGGGAAGAATGGGAGGGGGGTGGGAAGAATGGGAGGGAGGTGGGAAGAATGTTAGGGGGGTGGGAAGAATGGGAGGGGGGATGGGAAGAGTGGGAGGGGGGATGGGAAGAATGGGAGGGGGGATGGGAAGAATGGGAGGGGGGATGGGAAGAATGGGAGGGGGGATGGGAAGAATGGGAGGGGGATGGGAAGAATGGGAGGGGGATGGGAAGAATGGGAGGGGGATGGGAAGAATGGGAGGGGGGATGGGAAGGACGGGCGGGGAGGTGTGATTACCTGGGAGGGGAGATGGCAGAAAAGGGAGGGGGATGGAAGGAAGGGAAGGGAGATGGGGAGGAGAGGAAGGAGTGGGGATGAGAAGAAAGGGTAGGGAGATGGGAAGGCAAGTGAGTGAGATGGGAAGGCAAGTGAGTGAGATGGGATGGCAAGTGAGTGAGATGGGATGGCAAGTGAGTGAGATGGGATGGCAAGTGGGTGAGATGGGATGGCAAGTGGGTGAGATGGGATGGCAAGTGGGTGAGATGGGATGGCAAGTGGGTGAGATGGGATGGCAAGTGGGTGAGATGGGATGGCAAGTGGGTGAGATGGGATGGCAAGTGGGTGAGATGGGATGGCAAGTGAGTGAGATGGGAAGGCAAGTGAGTGAGATGGGATGGCAAGTGAGTGAGATGGGATGGCAAGTGAGTGAGATGGGATGGCAAGTGGGTGAGATGGGATGGCAAGTGGGTGAGATGGGATGGCAAGTGGGTGAGATGGGATGGCAAGTGGGTGAGATGGGATGGCAAGTGGGTGAGATGGGATGGCAAGTGGGTGAGATGGGATGGCAAGTGGGTGAGATGGGATGGCAAGTGGGTGAGATGGGATGGCAAGTGGGTGAGATGGGATGGCAAGTGGGTGAGATGGGATGGCAAGTGGGTGAGATGGGATGGCAAGTGGGTGAGATGGGATGGCAAGTGGGTGAGATGGGATGGCAGGTGAGGGGACGCGCCTGCCCTCATTTTGCCGCAAATCGAGGCAGCGAGGGGAGCGGAGGCGCGGCCTTGTATCAAGGCAAAACAATGCCGCGAGGGGGTTAATAGCAGTGCGTCGAATAGTGGAGGCGGAACGAGCAGCAAGGCTTCGAAGGTTGGACTGTTTGCACTTCGTTGATTGCAGAATAGTTGCGAGTCACTTCTCTTCGGGGGCAGGGAAACAATTCTCTCCCACCACAGCATCTCACCCCAACTCGCGAAACCCCCCTGCCCCCTCTACCCCTCCTAACCCCCTTGCCCCCTTTACCCCACCTTCTCTCCCTGCCCCAACTACCCCCCTGCCCCTACCCCCCCTGCCCCACCTACCCCCCTGCCCCACCTACCCCCCTGCCCCACCTACCCCCCTGCCCCACCTACCCCCCTGCCCCTACCCCCCCTGCCCCACCTACCCTCCCTGCTCCCCCCTACCCTCCCTGCTCCCCCCTACCCTCCCTGCTCCCCCCTACCCTCCCTGCCCCCCCTACCCCCCCTGCTCCCCCTACCCCCCCTGCTCCCCCTGCCCCCCCTGCTCCCCCTGCCCCCCCTGGCCCCCCTATCTCCCCTGCCCCCCTGTTTGATTCCGTGCTTCCCGTTCCCACCAGCAAGGACTTAGTTGCTATTTCTGACAGCTCGAAGCGGTTTTGTCAACTGGGGAGGAGCGAGCAACTACTCCCGCATCCCCTCATTCGGGCTTCCTACTCCGAGTTCGGGAGGCCCATGGACCTGGATGCGGTGGTGGGATTGGAAGAGCAGCTGATAAAACCTCCTGCTTCCCCAACCCTCTGCCTCCCAAACCCCCTGCCCCCCTGCCTCCCCTCCCCACCCGCCTACTCCAAGCCCATGGACCTGGATGCGGTGGTGGGATTAGAAGAGCAGCTGATAAAACCCCCTGCTTCCCCAACCCTCTGCCTCCCAAACCCCCTGCCCCCCTGCCTCCCCACCCGCCTACTCCAAGCCCATGGACCTGGATGCGGTGGTGGGATTAGAAGAGCAGCTGCTAGCGCAGGGCCACGCCGAGGGATACCAGTGAGTAGCTTTGCCAACCATCATTCCCTTCCCTGCTTTGGTTAGTACAAGCAGCTCTTGTACTACTCCCTGCTAGCTTGCAGCGCTTGGGCTGCGCCGGGATATTAGTGGGGGGCTGTTTTGGAGAATTTTAAAAATCAACCAGTACGGATATATCTGTGGGGGATGTTGAGTCGTTTCCATCTACCGCTCGGTATATTTCGTTTTCGTTTTGGTTTGAGTGGTTACCACCAGGACGACATTGGCGATTCCATCCGGACCGTTTAATGCGACACTAAGCGACGATCATCGTCGTCCTTTATTTTTCTGCGATTACTTGCGTCGACTCAGATGCGAATCAATCTAGACAGTTGTTGCAAAACCACCATACGCTCCTTCTCGCCTTCTTTGCTTCCCTTCGACCCCACTTCCCTGCCACCCCACATTCTTGGGACTTCTACAACCCACCCTGACAGGGATGGCCTGCGATTGGGACGGCAGGAGGGGAGAGAAACGGGCTGGGAGCACGGGTTTGCGATAGGTGGGTGAAAGACTGTACTAAACGTGTGCTCAAGCAGGCACGAGGTTGGTTGTACGACTACACCCCATACTGTGGCATGAGCAACGGGCGAACACCAAACGTGTTTGCCCGAACGTCCCCGAACATCTTTCTTAACCGAACCGAACATGTTTGGTTCGGCCGAACATTATTTTCAGATTGTCAGTGTTCGGTGTCTGGTTTAGGTGGGCAAACGTCTTTTGGTTTGCCGAACATCTACATGTTCGGTCAATTTCGAACATGTTTGATGTTTGAAAATGTGGACTTGGCAGATTCTGTCACTAAGTAGATTTCACCACTGTTTCTACGAACGATAGTGTAGGACTAAAACACACAAAGGTATCTGTTTTTTGAGGACTGGAGTCGTTAACCGATCATCCTGTGAAACCCTAAGTTACGTAAAAAATCGACTAACTAACGACTATTTAACCTAAGTTACCATCAGGAACCGTTAAGTTGGGCTGAAATGGGCATCAAATGCGCCTACTAATCCTTACTCCTCTGTACTTAACGTAAAAAAGTAGATCGAGGTCGAAATGACCTCGATCTGAGCTTTCCGTACGAAATACATCCAACCAGCGCGACAATGTCGCGCTGGTTTTTTCCGAACATCTAATGTTCGGAAAAGGGGGGAAACTTTCCGAACATGTTTGGTGTTCGGAAATTTCCCCCAAGAACTTTCCGAACACCGAACATGTTCGGGTCGAACCTCGAACATGTTTGGGCGAACATTATTCCCAAAAAATACCCCTCAAACATGTTCGAAACGAACATGTTCGACTCGAACGTGTTTGGGGTTCGAAAATATGCTCATGCCCATACACCATGATGATCGTTTTGAATGTGTGTTTGGCGTCTTCTTTAAGACACCAAGCATCATCGTGTGCTATACATTGCTGGTAGATCATGCATTTTGCGACTTATGGCATATATGCAATGCACACCACACATCGTGTATTGTTTATCAACTTGAAATTCCACACCCTCATCTCATCTCACAGCCCATCCCATCCCATCCCATCCCATCCCATTTTATCCCATCCCATCCCATCCCATCCCATCCCATCCCATCCCATCCCATCCCATCCCATCCCATCCCATCCCATCCCATCCCATGCCATCCCATCCTACCCCACCCCACTCCACCGCATCCCACACCACCACCAGGGGACGAGCTGGGTTTCATGTGGGGCTGTGCAGCCGCGTGGGAGCAAGTCATCCAATCAGTCCCCTCCACACGATTCTCCCCCAGGCAAGACTGCACCTTCAATCCTCACCGTTGGATCCTGCCAGTCACTCAGCAACCTTCCCATGCTATCCGTCCATCATCGCTCCCTGTTTCTCTCCGTCTCTTGCTTCAATCCTGCCCATCCCTTTCTTTGCCTCCCATCCCTTTCTTTGCCTCCCATCCCTTCGTCGCCTCCCATCCCCTTCCCTCCCTCCCATCCCCTTCCTTCTCCTCTCGTCTTGCACTTCCCACATACCTACCTTCCCACTCCGACCATCCCTTGCTCCCCTCCGTTCCTCAATCCCCCTGTGTCCATCCCTCCCCTCCCTCTCATCTTTCCCTCCCCTCCCTCCCCTCCCTCTCACCTTTCCCTCCCCTCCCTCCCCTCCCTCTCACCTTTCCCTCCCCTCCCTCCCCTCCCTCTCACCTTTCCCTCCCGTCCCTCCACTCCCTCTCACATTTCCCTCCCCTCCCTCTCACCTTTCCCTCCCCTCCCTCTCACCTTTCCCTCCCCTCCCTCCCCTCCCTCGATCCCTACCATTCTCTCCCCCACCAGGGCAACCAAAGCCGTGCAACAGCCGCAGCAACTCATATCTGACTTCCCTATAACCAACCCCGAAGTGACTTCCCCTTTAATCCCCCTTCTTCCCCACCCACCCCTGCCATCCCTCCATCCCTCTCATCCCCTCCACCCCTCTCATCCCCTCCATCCCTCTCATCCCCTCCATCCCTCTCATCCCCTCCATCCCTCTCATCCCCTCCATCCCTCTCGTACCTACAGGGCAATCAAAGCCGTGCAGCAGCTGCAGCAGCTCATATCTGACTTCCCCATATCCAACCCCGAAGTGAGTTCAGTACAGAAGAACGCTTCTAATCCAAGCAGACTCAAGAGTAGACCCAGCCGTAGATTTGAGTTGCAGGAGGAGCATCCACTTGGTGTTGCAGGAGGAGCATCCACTTGGTGTTTCTGAGTCGCCTCGTTACAAAATCGCAGAAACTCATTTCAGGCTTCCCCAATACCAGCCCTCGAGTGTCCACAGCTTTTTTAGTTGCAACCCCACACCAGGTTTCCCCTGCTCCCATATCCCCTGCTCCCATATCCCCTGCTCCCATATCCCCTGCTCCCATATCCCCTGCTCACCAACCCTCTGATTTCTCATCGTTGCAGGGGATATTTCTGTATGGCACACAGAGCACAATTCCGCCTCACCTGCTCTCCCTCACAACTCTCTTTCTACTTCATCCTCCCTTCTGCCTCACTGCACTTGTCACTGCACTTGTCACTGCACTTGTCACTGCACTTGTCAATACACTTGTCACAGGACGGCCACTTGTCACAGGACGGCCACTTGTCACAGGACGGCCACTTGTCACAGGACGGCCACTTGTCACAGGACGGCCACTTGTCACAGGACGGCCACTTGTCACAGGACGGCCACTTTGACACTCTCCTGCAGGGCTCGATTCCGCCTCACCTGCTCGCGCTCACCCAGTCTCTCGCTACCTGCCTCTCCCCATCCGTGCCCCCTTTCTGCCCCACTGTACTTGCCGCTGTGTGTCTCAGGACGGCCAATTTGACACTCTCCTTGCGCACATCAGGGCTCGGTTCCGCCTCTCCTGTTCCCTCATGGGCCAACCACACCTGGCTGCTTCCCTGCAATCGCACCCTTCTCAGCATACCAGCAGCTTAGAGTTCTGATGCACTTCGAGGCATCACAAAGCAGTGATCTACTGCTCACGTTTCCCCGTACTCGTCATCGAGCCCGCCAATGGACTCGCCAGCGAACCCGCCGACGGACCCGCCAGCGAGTCCGCCAGTGAACCCGCCAACGAACCCGCCGAAGGACCCGCCAGCAAACGAGCCAGCAGACCCGCGGACCCGCCAGTAGGTGAACCAGCGGACCCACGAGCCCGCCAGCAAGCAAGCCGAGGGGGCCCGCCGTCAGACCCCCCCAGCAACAGCACGCGCACCAACGACGCCAGCAGCACCTGCAAGCCCTGCCGCCCGCCCCTTCGTCTTCCCTCCTGCGATTGCTGCTGGGGGAGGGGGGGAGGTGGCGGGGACGGGGGGTGGGGGGGTTGGCCGCCGTGAGCAGAAGCCGCACAGCCGCCTCCTCCTCCTCTCGCTCACTGTTGCGTGTGTCGTTGAGGGGGGGGGGCTGAGGGGGTGGCGGTAAGGAGTATGCAGGGACTATCGTGGGTGGGGAAGGGCCTGGAGGAAGGAAGGGGGGGAGGGGGTGCGGTTCCAGGTGGCGGCTGAACATGGGGGGGGTGAGGTTTAGGGGGGTGGCTGAAAGGGGGTGTGGATTTGGGGGTTAGTAAGAGGGGTTCGCCGCGACTGGCTCCCCCCACCTCCTCTCCTCATCCCTCTCTCACCTTCCCGAACTCGGTAGCAAGCAATTATGTGGCAACCGAAAGGCTTGAGTTCGGTACACGTAACCTGGTTCGGTGCTATAACTATAATATCATATAGGAATGCACCTAACCTAGGAAATCAAGCATAAACATGCAAGATAAAATAAACCTAAGCTAGTGATAGCGTAATAACGTTAAGGCAAGCAAGCATAGCTGGCATAAGCCGTCGAACTCTCACAGCGCCCGTGGCGGTCGTCGCGGCCTTTTACCTCCCACTCGTCCCGTTTTCTTCCCCCCTGTTGCCTCGACTGCCCGCACCTGCTGCTGCAGTGCAAGGAGGTGGCGGGTGGGGGGGAGGCGGCAGGGGAGTGGAGCCCGCGCCCTGCCCCTGCCCCTGCCGCGGCTTCCGCCGTGGGGGGGTGGTGGGTGGGAGGTGGCAGGACTTGCGCGCCCTCGGCTGTTGGGGTGCTTAAGCCCCCCTCTCTCTCACTGCCGCAACTGCTGCTGTGGGGGGGAGGGTGAGGGGGTGGCGGGAACGTGCCGACAGCAACTACCGCCCCCTCACCTCTCCCCTTGCCGCCCCTGCTGCCGTGGGTGGGGAGGGGAGTGTGAGGGAGTGTGGGGAGGGGGGGGGGGGGGTAACCATTCAGCCGCCTCTCCTCTTATAGCCAGCAGCTAAAATAGTGACCCCCCCCCCTTCTAGTTGGATCCACTTGATTATCAAAGTTTTTTTGTAATGTTTTGAAAAGTTGAAGTGTCGTGTGTGTGGGTTTTTTTCACACCTCCAGACGAGTTCCGAATGAACAGGCATCAAAAGTACCTTCTCAATTCTGATTGGCAGCCAAATACTTGCACGTACATCTGCGATTTTTGTGCAAGGTTGAGCGACGTGCAATGTCACATTCACTAGAGTTGTGACTTCTCCAAATTCGCGTCTAGCAGCAGCACAGGCAAATTGTCAAGCACAAACATGTGTAAGATATGAGAGTGGAATAGCGTGAACAAGATGAGAGCCAACGGAGCCACGACGAATCGTGCCCTCTTCGACTTGGGGCCTGAGAGAGGTTCATTACCAAGGATTCTTGAAAAATAAAAACTGAGCATGAATGGGGTAAACGGAGAAAAACAAGGTGATGCGACGGGAAGGGAAGGGAAGGCGAGGGAAGGGAAGGGGAGGGACGGGAAGGGAAGGGAAGGTAAGGGAAGGGAAGGCGACGGGAAGGGAAGGGAAGGCGACGGGAAGGGAAGGGAAGGCGAGGGAAGGGAAGGGGAGGGACGGGAAGGGAAGGGAAGGTAAGGGAAGGGAAGGGAAGGCGACGGGATGGAAGGCGAGGGAAGGAAAGGGAAGGCGACGGAAGGGAAGGGAAGGGAAGTGAAGGCGACGGGAAGGGAAGGCGACGGGAAGGGAAGAAAAGGGAAGGGAATGCGACGAGATGGAAGGGGATACCATGAGGACGACGGGAGGGTGGTTGCGCGTGTGTTTGCGAGGGCGACGGAAAGGTGACGGGACGGGCAGCGAGGGGAGATAAACGAGGCGAAGGCCACGGAAGGGAGATAGAGAGGGCTATGGCGAACGACGCGATGGGAGGGGAGAGGAGGCGGATGATGCGAGGGGAGAGGAGGAACGTGAGCATGCAGATGGGAGAGGAGAGGAGGAACGTGAGCATGCAGATGGGAGAGGAGAGGAGGAACGTGAGCATGCAGATGGGAGAGGAGAGGAGGAACGTGAGCATGCAGATGGGAGAGGAGAGGAGGAACGTGAGCATGCAGATGGGAGAGGAGAGGAGGAACGTGAGCATGCAGATGGGAGAGGAGAGGAGGAACGTGAGCATGCAGATGGGAGAGGAGAGGAGGAACGTGAGCATGCAGATGGGAGAGGAGAGGAGGAACGTGAGCATGCAGATGGGAGAGGAGAGGAGGAACGTGAGCATGCAGATGGGAGAGGAGAGGAGGAACGTGAGCATGCAGATGGGAGAGGAGAGGAGGAACGTGAGCATGCAGATGGGAGAGGAGAGGAGGAACGTGAGCATGCAGATGGGAGAGGAGAGGAGGAACGTGAGCATGCAGATGGGAGAGGAGAGGAGGAACGTGAGCATGCAGATGGGAGAGGAGAGGAGGAACGTGAGCATGCAGATGGGAGAGGAGAGGAGGAACGTGAGCATGCAGATGGGAGAGGAGAGGAGGAACGTGAGCATGCAGATGGGAGAGGAGAGGAGGAACGTGAGCATGCAGATGGGAGAGGAGAGGAGGAACGTGAGCATGCAGATGGGAGAGGAGAGGAGGAACGTGAGCATGCAGATGGGAGAGGAGAGGAGGAACGTGAGCATGCAGATGGGAGAGGAGAGGAGGAACGTGAGCATGCAGATGGGAGAGGAGAGGAGGAACGTGAGCATGCAGATGGGAGGGAGGACGTGAGCGAGAGGAGATGAAGTGGGCGACGGGAGGGAGAGCGCGAAGGCGACGGGAAGGAGAGCGCATAGGCGACGGGAAGGAGAGCGCATAGGCGACGGGAAGGAGAGCGCGTAGGCGACGGGATGGAGAGCGCGAAGGTGAGCGATGGGGCGACGACTGCATCGAGGGTGACCCGCGAAGGTGATGGGAGGGACAGCGGACGAACGACTGGAGGGTAGGGGAGATGGCGAAGGCGCGAGACAGGAAACTAGCCCCTGCGGAAGTGCAACGATCGCCTGCGGAAGGGACTTAATTTACGATACTAAGCTACGCGACAGTCTTACGCATTCCTGCAGGGTCGATAGTTACTTACCTTGGCCACAAACACCTATTGTTGTCAGCTAAATATACTAGGAATAAAACTAGTGACTTCGGGATGGAGAGCAGCTGGTCATGAAACCCAGTTCCAACTTGAAACCAACGTTGGCCTAGCGACGGAAACCATCGCCAGGCAACAGTCGTGCAGGTGTAGCACGTAGACGTGCGACGAGGGAGATCCGGATGGAAAAACATTTTGGCGGGAACAAGACAGCAGAAAGTTGGCGAAAGCCAATCACTTCTGTTCAAAGTGCTGCTCGTTTTCTTTGAAACAGTGCTCTATCGGCCCGCTCTCTCCAGCACCATTTCAAGTTGGGACAGGGTTCATTATTTTACATTCTGGTTTTAACCTCCTCTCCCCTTGTCCTCTCCAGCCGTCTCTCCTCGCCTCTTCTCCTCCTCTCTCCTCTCCTCCAGTCGCTTCTCCTCTCCTCTTCTCCTGCCCCCTCTCCTCCAGCCGCCTCTCCTCTGCGCTCCCTCTTGTTGGAATATATTCATCTATATTATGTATAACTATCTGCAGTGTAGACTGTAGTGTGTGTCATCATTTGCTGTAGGTGGTGTACCTCCTTTTCCTTCCTATATCCCTGTAATGTTTCTCCTTATTGCACCTTTTTGGCCAATTCCTTCCTCTCGATACTATCGCCATGCTCCAAGCTCCTAACTCCTACTTCCTAAGCCAAGTCCTATCTTAACATGCTATCAGAGCAGGTCCCGATTTAGGACCGGTCTCATGGGCCCACGAGTTGTGTTCGTTATGTTGCGCCCCGTAGTTCCTCTTGTCACGTTCTGCCCGTGGCGAACAAACCAGCGAGCTGTGGCGAGTGAGCCAGTGACCAACGCCAGCGCGAGCGCCAGCGACCAGCGCAGCGCGCATGCCAGCGCAGCCCGCCAGCGCCACACGCCAGCGCGAGGAGCAACAACAGCAGCGCGCGCCGCCCGCCTGCGCTACCGACCCCGCCCTCCCTGCCCCTGCTGCGGCTTCTGCCGTGGGGGTGGGGAGAAGGGGGGGGGGGGGGGGGTGGGGTCTGGGTGGTGGCCGTGAGTATGGGAGACCGGGGTGGATGACTCCACGCCACTGCAGCCGCCTCTCCTCTCTCCTCTCTCTCCCTGCAGCACCTGTCGCTGTGGGGGGGGGGGGGGGGGGAGAAGGGTGAGGGGGTGGCAGGAGAGCTTCTGCCGTGCCAGCTGTTGCAATCAGAAGTTGATCGTGCCTAGGATCACCTCAAGAAGTTTCGCACACGACTGAGTAGTGGTGGTGGGCCCTTGACCTCAATAGCAGAGTGAATATAAAATGCTTGAGATGATAAAAACATGCAAATACAGGGATATAAATAAGAGTACAAGGGAATACCAATCGACCTAGCTAGCCAAGTACTCTAAGAGGTACACTCCCTTATTACAGCGAAATCCAACCGTGCGACTCCAGACAGTTACGAAACTGTCCGGGCAGAATCCTCGCCAGTGCTGCTGCCTGATGATGTCTGCGCGACGGTCCAGATGCCTTCGTAACCGTGCGACCCTTCGTGTCACTTCCGCCCTTTCGTCTCCATTCTCGGTAGTGCGTGCTTCGATTGCTGCGGTGAGGAGTGCACAGTGATGTTTCAACAATTACTATTCGTAACACCAGCCACCGCCACCCCTCCTCTCTCTCACACACTACAGCGCGTGCTGCTGTGGGGGGGAGGGTGAGGGGGTGGCGGGAGAAAACCGGCAGCAACAATGTCTTCGTCCATCCCCACCTCTCCTCCTCCTCTGCCCTCTCGTCCAGCTACCTCTCCTCCTCCTTTTCCCTTCTCCTCCAGCCGCCTCTCTTCACCTTTCCTCCTCTCTCCTCTCCTCCAGCCGTCTCTCCTCGCCTTTCCTCCTCCTCACTCCTCTCCTCTCCTCTCCTCTCCTCTAGTCCTCTCTCCTCTCCGTTTTCCAGCCTCCTCCGTTTGTTCGCTCCTCCAGCCGTCTCCGCCATTGTGGGAGGGAGGTGGGAGAGGTTGGAGGGTGGTGGCCGCCATGAAGCCTGCACTCCCAGTTGCCACTGAGCCCGTTGCTCCAGTCGTCCGTTAAGTCAATTGCTCTAGCCGTACGAGTGGGATGCTCCAGGTGTACGAGCCAGTTACCCCTGTGCCTGCGAGCTAGTGCTCCAGTAGCCCGTGGGCTAGCATCTTCTGTCACAATGAAAAATTTGACTAAAACAGAAAGTACAAACAAGATATATGCAAAACCTAACCCTAGTGCAAGTACAAAATAACACAAGGGAGAACACCTAGACTAGAACTACACAAACTATAGAATTATAGTTTGACACACCCCCATAGTCTAGGTGACGGTAGTCCTGTAGAAACAACACGAGCAAGCAACGGTCACAAGACCAGTCCACAAGAACAAGACAAATATCAGGGTGGAGCTCAAAGTCACCACACACTCCGAGAGCAAGCAAGGGGCCACAAGGCTAGTCCACATGCAGGTATATAGCAAATATAAAGAGATGCAAGAGTACAAGAAATGCAGGACAAGGCATCTCTACGTAAGCAAGTGAGGACGGGCAGGCACAAGGCCAAGCTGGGTGCAAAAACGCTGGTGGTCAGAAGGCGGCAACGCCTTGGTGAAGATATCTGCCGTGTTGGCCTCAAAGACCACACGTCGAACGAGTGCCTGGCCACGCTGCTGCAACTCATGCAGAAGGAAGTAACGGAGCTGGATGTGCTTCGCCTTCCCAACCAGTCGGGGCTCCTCACACAACAGGACAGCAGACCTGTTGTCGGCGAACAAGACTGGGGGAGAGCGAGGCCGCTCACCAAGGTCGGTGAGAAGGAAAGACAACCAGCGAAGCTCCTGAGCGGCCATGGCCGCAGCGTACACCTCTGCCTCACAACTGGAACCGGCGACGGACGACGCCCCAGTCGACCGCCACGAAACATCACCTGTCCCGAGGCTAAAGGAGTACCCCTGTGTAGACCGACGCGTCTCTGCGTCGTCGGCCCAGGACGAGTCCGAGTAACCTGTGAGTGTAACTGGCTGCTTCCCTCCAAGGACAAGTCCCATGCCTGATGTACTCGCCACATACTTCGCCACCCTCTTAGCAGCGGACCAGTGGGAAGGTCAGTGTCTCCCTGGCGCAACAAAGCGCGCAAGAACGCTAAGAGGGTAGGCTAAGTCTGGGCGAGTACAGGTCATCAGGTACATGAGACAACCCACCAGCTCAGGATATGGACCACTGGACTCAAATGACTCGTCCGAAGGTGGAGCCGTGAGCCCATGATCCACACCAAGAGGGGTGAGCTGTACCTTGGAGAACGGGAAGCGAAACCGCGTGAGGATCTGCTCGACCATATGCGACTGCGTCAGCGTAATGGTGCGAGCTGCCCTGTCCCTAGTGATCTGCAGGCCAAGCTAGTGGTGCAGCTCACCAAGGTCAGTGCAAGTGTGTCTCCTCTGCAGTTCCTCCTTCACGGAGGCCAGTGCGTGTCGGTCGGGAGTGGCAAAGACCAGGTCGTCGACGTAGACCAGGACAAAGAACGAGGTCGAGCCACGGCGGACGAACAGTGACGGGTCGGCAGACGACGGAAAGAAGTCAAGCGCTGCAAGGGTCGAGCAAAGTGTGTCGTGCCACTCACGTGGAGCCTGACGCAGGCCATAGACTGGTCGACGCAGCTGCCACTGGGTCCCAGGTGGGAAAGAGCCAATGAAGCCAGGCGGGCGACGCAGCCAGATCTGCTCGTGCAGGCTCCCCTGAAGGAACGCGGTGGAAAAGTCCAAGGAGTGCAACTCGTAGTTGCGCTGGGCTGCAATATGCAACAACACCCGAAGAGTACTCATCTTCGGGGTGGGAGCAAAGGTCTGGAAGAAGTCCACCCCCTCTCGCTGACTGAAGCCTCTCGCCACATAGCGCGCCTTGAACACTGGTGGTGATCCAGGCGGCCGCTTCACCTTGTAGAGCCATCGGCCACTGACGACGTTCGTCCCAGGTGGTGGGACTGCGTCGACGTAAGTGCCTGTGGACCTATAAGATGCCATCTCTGCCTCCTCAGCTGCAATCCAGTATGAGGCCCAAGGTCCCGAGACCGCCTCAGAGTGATTGCGAGGGATCGGGATGTCAAGAGCGTCTGGATCCCCCTCAGGTGCAAGCAGCATGGCACAGAGATGAGGAATAGCGGCCGCAAGGAAACCAAGCTCAAACTGCCTGTCCTCTAGGACCTCCAGGGGAAAGTCAGGAGCACCCCCAGAGGATGGAGAACGAGCAGGGCCACTCAGCAAGTGAGCGGCGTAGTCAAGGCGGTGGGAAGAGGCAAAGCCAGCGACAGTGGTAACAAGTGCTGAGACAGACGACAAAGGTGCAGTCGGGTGTGTGACCAACGCGGACAAAATACGGGAGACGACAGGACGGGAGGCACGGAGGTAGTCGGACAACGGGTCGTGAAGCACAGTGAGGGACGACTCAGGAGGCTGTGGAAGGACTGGAGGAGGTGGAACACGAGAGCGGAGAACAAGGTGAAATGGACCGTCTGCACCGTAACGAGACCGACGGGGCTCTGGAGACACATCACGACTGAGGGGAGGACGACGAGTCCACTGGGACGAGGAAACGGACTGGACGGGGGGAACAGGAGGGGACGGTAGGGGACCACGAACCAAGCGTGCAGCTGCTGGGTCGGGCAGGTTGCGCAGGCGCAGTCGCTGTCGCTTCGCCTCCTCTGGCGTCTGCTGCGACGGTACCTGTCCCTGCTGCTGCTCCTGT